TGTGTGTGTGTGTGTGCGTGCGTGCGTACGTGCGTACACGCACTCGCTCACGTGCAAACGTGTGTTGTAGGTAGATGATATGTGCATTCGCTTGAGGAGTAAGCGGGTGCTTAACGCTGTGTGCAAAGCAAGGAAAAGCGGGCGGCCAGCACGTCAGAGCGGCGCTGCGCGAGGGACCTTCACACAATGCAAGCAGCACCTGCAGAGACGCTGCGTTTCAATCTGCGGCGCGGCGGCTTCACAACGACATGGCCCTGCTGTCAGGCCGCCCGTGCACCCGACACCTCTGCGGCTCCCTAGCCGCCTGGCCGCTATCAAAATGTTCATCCCCCTCGCCCTGCTCAACAACTCGCTCCCATCGTGTCCAGATTCCATCCTAACGGGTGACGGGCTGGTGTCGCAGTCCAGCGCAGTGACCGGCGCGTCCCTCGCAATCGCCGGCGTCCTGAACGTGGGCGTGGTGCTGCTGTTCCTGTGCGCGCTGTACCTTGAGGGCCGTCGCATGGTGGTCAGCGCGATGGACGCTGATGGCGACGGCAAGGTGGCGGTTTGGGAGGTCCTAGACTGGGTGGCAGCTCGCCTGCCACCCTGGCTGAAAAACCGCTTGGCGGCAACCCGCAATGCCACTGGGAGTTGACGGCTGCAGAATCGTGACCAGGAACTGGGTCCGGCAGAGTAATGAACTATTAATTGGCGGGTTTCTAAAAATTGCGTTCATTGCACAGGCCAGGGGCCTGCGTAACTCACGCCCGTCTCTGCTGTGCGGTGCAACCCAGCCAATCTTTTGCATTTGCCACATCGACGTGCGGCACTGACGCTTTCAAAGTCTGCACTCCCTTCTTGCATTTTGGCCTTTGCATCTGTCTCAAAAGTCTCTGGATGGCACCTCGCCCCCAGCACCTGGCGTGCACACTGCACATATGTACGGACGCCGCAGGCCGCACCTGTGACATGCTGGCATGGCCTCGGCACCTATCTGCAACGAATTAATGGGCAAGGGATGCATCTGCGGGCTGCGTTTTGCTTGCCTGTCTTCTGCTTGCCGCACCTTGCAAATCGTCACCATTGCGGCCAAAGCGCCACCAACGGCAGCGCTGCCACGGGATTATGATGCCGCTCAGTATATTACACCCTTTAATCTGCACCTTCAGCACCTTCAAATGTCCACATGCCTGGCTTGGGACCACTCAGTGGTCTGCACAACCTCTCAAGCCCTGGCACGTTGAGACATCCTCGCGTGCAGGCGCACAAATAATGGCCAGCGCTAATATGGTTGGCAGACTTCACCCAAACATTTGCAATGAGCATCGAACAAAGGTTGCATACACCAACTTAGCATTGTGCAATGTAAAGTCGAGTTGTCGGCAGAAGCGGTTGAATGGGATGACTGCGACGGCAGCAACTTGCAGCGCAGCGCGGAGCAGGCAGAGTTGGAGGTATACCTAGGCATATGCAGAAGGCTACTGTCAAGGGAAGAGGCTGGTCAGGACCCTTTCACCGCCGCATCAGGGTCCTGAATTCTGTTGCTCATATCACTCTCATTTAGGCTGGAACGCCCTGGCTGACTTGCACATTGCTGCTGCGTCCTGTTACAGCCGAGATCATGCAACTGCTGTGTGGGGAGCCCTGTCTTGATGATTTGACACAGCCCAGCCACTGCTCCTGCAGGACCCCTCAAAGTGATAAATGACGTGTTACATGCGTTGGCAAGTAAGTTGCTTCAAGAGGGATTCGCACACGCAACGCCCATGTTGACAGGGTCTTTGCAGTAAAGGGTGACTGGTCCGCCAGCTGTCACAGCTGAAATATCAGTGGCAGATTGTGGGGGTCAATACAATTGGATGAAAGGAAGCAGGAAGAGTGTGGACTCACAGCGCGAAACAAATTATGTGCAGAAAACACACAGATAAATAGTTGACCAGGCAGCTGTCCTCCTCAAAGCCCTAGACGTCCCCCCC